TGCGGAACAAGATCTGACATTTGGGAATATAGATTCTCAAACTCAACCTCCAGATCCAATCGTTTAGTTTTTCGAGCGGGACAACAAAATGTGGGTCCTAGTGAGAGCACTTCAAGTAACTTTTTATCCAATACAACCGATGAAAAATTATGAACGTATTTCTCAGGGTTGACAGGAAACTCACTGGCGTGTTTCGTTGGATCAATCAATTTGTGCATTGTTTGACGTTTACATTTCACTCGTTTTTCCTCAGTCGATTGCACAAAAGATTCTAGTCGTTGGCATTCCCAAGTGACAACACCTCGAGCACACGAGGTGACATAATGTTTGGCAAAGTACCCCCCGAATCGCTAGGTCCATGATTAGACTTGAATACTCTTTCACCACAAGCATTGGAGACGTGATGAATTGTTTTCAACCCTGTTGGCTAGAGCCGTAAGCACGTCAGAATAAATTGAGTTAACTCAAGCCATAGAAATCAAGTTTTCCCACCCCGCCAATCGCAATATCTCAATGGAAAAAAGAACATAAATTTCATATGACCTATTGTGGCACCCTTAACCGATGTATAAGGACGATCTGCTTCTTTTATTGCGCACAGGGGCAGGGAAGTATAATTTTTTATCGTCATGTTTGGTTTAATCCGTTCGATTGTCTTCGGGAGCCCGGATCTACCGAGAATCTTTAGTAAGAGTTAATTTCTCACCAGGTAAATGCGTTTGTATGAAACAGACATATTTATGATGACAGACAAAGTGTATCAGTCGGCTGTTTCACCATGTTTTGTCTCGTTAGCGATGCGTAATTCCTTAGTCCCTGCAGCGTTGCGAACCGCGAATCCGCGAGTTCAAACCGTCTCCAAGGTTCATCAACATTACATGCGAACAACCGAGTGAACCAATCCAAATCAAAATTGTTTTAGCCATTCGCAGTGGGTATTGATCTGCGGCTATGCAACTAAGAGGTAAGAGTTTTGACTTCCAACCCGTAACTTCACAATTCAAGTCCAACCGGGGATGCAATAGGTACGCACCGCTTATGAATCCCAAACGGGATGACACAGATGTCCAATGCTTTTTGTTGGTCATCGTAGAGATTTATATTACAGAAAACTATAATGTTGATAATTTCGTTGTTTGGACTTCATTATTCGAGAACGAACGAACAAATGATTTCGCAACGATTATCACAGGCTCATTGAATACAAAGGAATTTAGATAAAATCTATAGTCAGAAAGTCAACACACTCTTTGAAGATGTTTCAAAATGCTTGAGTGGTATGTCCAACAGACTGGAATCATTCAATGGGATGTGTCCAGAGGAAGTCATATTGCTGCAATATAAGGAGAGGTTATTTGATGGGATACTCAAAGTAAAACTGGATGGATATATAAATCACTGGAATGTATTCAAATGTCAGCACTAATCGCAAATGAAATGCAGAATTAATTTGCTAAATGTTAGAAACAGGCATGAAAATACACCGTACAGTGGTTGGTGCGACAGGTGGTGGTGGTGCGGTAGTTGGTTTGCTGTCACCTGCATGTTCTGGACCCTACGGTCCGCTGTTCGAGCCCCACCGGCCAACTTCGGCGACAGGAAGCATCTTCTATCGTGCGGTTCAAGACCATACCTGATATAGCCAGGTTTTATGTGGTTCCCTAATTCACGTCTCTGTTTCCATCACTGAACAGCAGGTTTTCGTGACTATGGGATTCACCCCGTTTTCTGTTCATCACGCCTGTGTACATTACATAAATAAAATCACATAATAACCTGTGAATGGGCGGCAGCTTATTTTGATTCGCTTAATCTCAAACACCAACTTTGCCGATTACAATCACGTGACATTAAACGCCGAGCTTGTACGCTTTACTCCTCCAGCGATTAGTTGCCATTTAATCGCACCTATATGGACCAGTGGAAATTCGTCTCTAATGTCTGATATTAGGAAATGTAGGAAACGAATGCCTTAAAAGGTTGTGCGATCGGAGCACGTGGTGCGGATAAACGGTTGCACGATCAAAAATTACAATGGTTACGGTACATTGAATGTAAACCGACGGAGTTATGATACGAATCAGGAATAGCGGATTATTTTCGCCTCCTCTCATCAATACTACCTAGGTGGGCTCTAATGTATTGATTTTTTTCGAGTACCGCTTCGTAGTTGATTAATTGGTTTTATACCAACCTATCACGAGTAAGTCTACAAAACACTGAGGTGTTGAATTGAGTTCAGTGGATTAGTGGATCAATCCACAAAGACGGAGTTTGCAGTTTGCGCAGAATAGATTATAATGAAGCGCGAAATTTGTCTGTTTGACCATCACTAAAAATTGCCTTTCTTTTTTTGCATTTGTGATCATTTCCCCCTCACTCTCGCTTCCCACCCCGATCTGCGTACGCATCAAGGGACAGTGCAATGCACAATGACCAATTGGAGCAAAAGAAGTTTTTTGGAGGTCTGCAATTCATTATGCATCATCTGGGTTATGCATTTAAAATGGACGAAATACCGGTGTTTCCCATAATTGGAGACTATGATGTGAATCCACCAAAACAGATGGCTGTCAACATGTGGGACTCGTCAAGGGATACATGGTGTAACGCACTGGCTGGACGTGGTCGTCCATGGGAAAGTTTGATTAAGAAGGCGGTGGCCAGTATCAGTAGGGAAAAAGGACTACCTATCGTCGACTTCAAATCAGGTCTGTACAAAATAATCATTGATCAGTGAATGAAGGAGTGAGTGTATGAGTGAGTGAGTGAGTGTAGTGACTAAGTGAGTTTGTCTGCTGCAGTCAGTTTGTCAGTCAATTGATCAGAGAGTCCACGAATGAAAAGGCTTTAGTCGAGTGTTGCAAGATCATTCGATTCACCTTCAGTCGGATAGACGGTTTAACGACAAAAACAACAACAACGAAGACGACAACGACATTGTATCACATTTAATTAAGTTCGTTGATATCTATGATGAATATAAAAAGGTTCAGTATGTGACTATCGATCGATTTTTCTTACTGAGGCTAGTTCGTTAACAGAGATATTTATTACTAGTGTGTCTTATCCAGAGAAAGCTGATTACAGAATTTTCTAAATCGCTGGGATTTCATCAGTTCGATTGGAGAAAGTAAACATCGAGTAGTTTTTTTCTTAACGTTGTAGTGAAGACGATTTCAAAATAGATTCCCATTTATTCAGCAAAAACCAGAACCCCCTCTGTTGCTGTGTGGACGGACTATGCAGCTCCTGACTCATTACCTTTTTTATCGATCGAAACTGTGCCACAGGTCAAACCGTCATTGTAACGCACATTCATTCACATATATAGCGCATCAAAATTGTCTTCGCATCTGATGGGAACAGTTTACCGTTTTGTTTTATCTCTTCGCTACCCCGCAAAAAGAAGTCACTCTTGTCAGTAATTGCCAGATGGACTTAACAAGCTCAAAGACCTGAAGCGTTCAGTCAGACCAAATGCGTTTTTTCCCCTTCCATTTGGCCATTGTTCTTCTACACGCAGATAAATGTTCAATTTCAAAGACATGTGTGATTATTTCGGACATCATTTGAAAGTTAATCATGCCAAGTAAAATTGGTTTGCATTGGGTAGTGTTCCATCAATAAATTTATCAGAAGCATCAAAAAGAAGCTGACAAGAAACAAAATCAATCAACTCTGGTTAACACGGTTGAATTTAGAGAAAAAATTTAATAGAAATGTAGAACACAGGTTAAAGTCAGCTACTTCCGCAGACCATAGCAGTTACGGATCTGAAACTGACCTTTTGGGAAACTATTAGGTTCTCCAGTCTGAATGAATACAAAGCCAAATTGTGCCCCCCGGCTAAATACAGATTTTGCATAGAAAGGGACCAGAAAATAAGGGAGCAATAAAAGCATAATCAATAGTATCGATCTATAATTTCATTCTCTCAAATGGCCATCAGATTAGGGAGATCATAAAACCATTTTTGCAGTAGACTGGATGAGAGTTGGACAAACATATGACTGTGAAAAATTGTAATCTGTTGGATAAGGAAAACTAAACTGTAATGTATCATCAACACAATTCTTTTGTTTTTGTTTTGAACCTGTTTTCAATCTGAGCCCAATTTCAAGTTGTGTGTGTGTTTGCATATGCGCGATATATTCACACTGAGAGACAATCTATGTTTGAAGAAAATCGATTTCTATCCACTTACATTCATACATCCGACAGCCTGCTATCATTCAATACTGATCAACTCAAATCCGAAAGTGCTGGTGCTCGGATTGAACAGTCTGTTGTGGTATTCGAACAATTTATTGGCAAACGAGAGTATCCCGGATCCGATGAATCAATTTGTCTGGATCGAGCAGAGTTTGAAATGGGCTCAAAAAGAACAAGTCAAGGTCTGTTGAGTATATAGCCTCGTTGTGAATGCCACTTTTATCCCCCCCCCCACTCACTCACTCACTCACTCACGGTTTGCATCAGTTTAACCAACTCGGTCAAGGGAATACCATATAAATATATACTGGTCTGATCGAAACTGAAGCAATGGGTTCCTGTGAAACACCTGAGGGCTCGAATGGGCAACAGCATTTGAATTGAAGTAATTTTTGTCCAAATAAGAATACATAAGCCTTGGTGAGTCTTTACCACACTGGTTTTCCTGTTTCGTTTATACTCAGCAGATGAAATGATTCAGAATGTATGGGATACTCTCATTTTGTCAGTAGTGGTTGATCTAGACCATGATAAGTTAAGAGATAACTAAAGAGAATGAAACAGTTTTTATTTACAGCAAATTAACGGTAGTTAAGATGTACAGTTTATGTACACTAATAGTCCATTGGTCTGCCTTTGTTCTTCAGGACCTTTTTAAGTCTCTTCGGCATCGAATCCACCAACTTTGTTATGAAGTCATTTTCTATTTTGTGCTCCATTACGTATTGCACTTTTGCCTCCAATGTCCAATGTGCAGATAGCACACTGATCTCTCTCTTCTAAACAGAAAACATATTTTTAATCACATTGAGGTTCGAGCTATTAGGGGGAAGTTGTATGAACTGGATCATAGAGTCAGGCACCTTTTCCGTGAATTGTGCTTTTGTTAACGTTAAAGCGTTGGGTGAGGTTTAAACTGGAAAATCCCAGCTTATGTGCTCGTGCAATTCTCTTGCTGTCCTCTTCACTGAGATGACGAAAACGTTTGGTTTTGAGTGCTGCTTGCTTCATTGTGGTAAAAATAATAGGAACATTCAAAGCTGTGCACAAAAATTACATTGATTTCAAGTTTGGCTTTGATTAAAGTGGTATTTTTCGAATTCAGTGAGTTATATATCAAACATAGAATATTATTAGGAAACCTAATTTAATGCAATTTCTCCGGGTCAAAAAAGAATTTCATTTGGCTAGTTCATAGAGTTACCTTAACGGAGTATATGTCCGATAAAATAATGCCTCATAAGAAACAACTGAGATGGCCAGGGTTCATGGAAATATTTTGGGATAATTCTTGAATCATTCCTAATAGAAAATATTGCGTTTTCATACTAGATAATTTTTTCTAATTTTTATGATGAGATTATTTAATCTTATTTAATCCCGAACGCGGACCTGATAAAATCATGTCAGTTTGCTATTTTTTTTACCTAGCTCAGATTTCGTTTTCGATGTTTAAGTAAATAAACTAATTGTGGTTGCCTTTATTTCTAATTGTTATGCATGCGTGTAAACATAGTAACTCAACTCCCCCTCCCCCGACCCCTATTGTCCAAGTTCTACTTCTGCATGGATTTTAAGTAGTTCATATAAATATTTTACTTATTGAGTCCCCTCACAGTTATCCTGCCCAGCATATCGAAGGATTTTAAACCTTTTCAGATGCAATTTTAGTCGATATGAAACATCCTGATCAAATCCATCTCCTCCGTTTATCGGGAAAGCACACAGATGCACAGTATATTTATCGTCCAGGGTGTCGTATTACACTGAGCACATTTAGCATAAATCGATCTCACAATAGTGGTTTACCGCTTTTCGTTTCCCTTGACCACAGGACCATCATACGCTCATGGTTTGTTTCTATCATTTCATAGTTACGTAAAACTTGATATATATATATATATACTTGTATGTATATATGTATTCGTAACTTGTCAGAAAATTGTGATAATTAAAAGGAGCTGGTAGCACTTAGGGCCACTTGCTGTGTGTTGTTGACGTGAATTTTTTCCCTTTCGGTTCTCGTAGCTCGGGTGAACTGAATTCCATTTTTCCAAGCTCGGCGAACAGGCGAACTGGAACCAGTCAGTTATTTCGGTCCCCGCGGCGGAGAATGGCGAAACCGTAAACCGAAAATCGAACGATACCTGTAGATTCAGTTGAAGAAGAGTTTAGTGTTTTGCATACAAATGAAGTCCGATTGATAGAAAGAAATAATAGCTTAATTCGGATGACTAATCACAGCGAGCTGGCATGCTGACTAAAAATGATACTGAGTAAATAATTCATAAAAACTGAAATATGTACTAGAATAACAATACATAAACCATGCGTTTGTGAATTCGCACGTCGAATAAAACAACATCTAGACAATACAAAATTCCTTATTTGTTGTTAGTCTCAGTGTCGCCGCGTTGTATAACCCAAACCAAATGAATTTTTTTCAGATTCACAGATGGAGTGTTCCGCTTATCAAAGCCGGGCTCGTAATACAGCAAGGCGGTTTAAAGATCGCC